ACAACAGAATGGTTGTTTAGCTAAAGGGTTTGACGGCAAGAAAAGCGGACTGCTGGTCGAAAGTTCCTTTGACAACGGCAGCGCCGCCTTATGGGTCGCAGACGACGTTCATTTCGCCTTCTGTGTAGTATCTGGAGCGGCCAATGGGTTATTTTCAGATGTAACGTTTTTGCAGCAAGTGCGAATTGACTACAGGAAAACTCTGTTTTACTGTTAGTTGTTTTAACGATATTTTTTTTTTATAATCTATTGTTATATCGGTCTCTACCTGAGGGTTTAGATCGGCCTTTGGCGAACGTACAGGCTAGATCGAATCAACCAGGCCAACCTGTGGTATATCTTTTGTGCTCGCCTGAAAGTGAAATTATTATTATTGGACACTGCTTAAGTGTTCCATCTAGCGGCTTTGAACAGTTTGTAGGTTCGTTTTGTAGTGATAATGCATCCTTGAACTTCTGTCATTTATAGATAAGTATAAGTAATGTAAACATGCAATTAAGGACTATGAAGTTGGTGTGCCCTGCTTCTAATGGACCAACAATTGGACTTGCCAAGAGGATTTCAGTTCTGACCAAGAAAGGTAGACAATAAATAGGAACAAGGTTCTACAATCACAAAATGATATGGTTGATGGTATTTTTTTTATCACAAAATTATAAATATAATAGAATTTCTTATGCATATTATGTGCCGCGAACGCCACCCAACCCACAACTGGCTCACCATAGCATTTGTCCAACAAACTCGTTTCCACTACGAACGAATGAAGATCAATCGTAAGGCCTCATGTCTATGTTTTTCTATTAAACATGCTATACTCCTAATTTTATTTGAAGTAAGTTAAATTATGTCGAGGTAATTGTGCGTACAAAGCATATTTAAACAACTAAAACCTACTAAAAACAAGGACCCATGGAGAATCAACTTCAATTGCTTAGGTTTCATTACGTGCGTGACAGTGGTTTTAACGCATCGTGCCTATTTTTTTTACGTCGGGCATTGCTATTTGACATTCCACCAGACAGCCTGCCTTTGGAAACTAGACTATAACAGTTACAACGTTCGCTGCCGCCCTTCTTGAAAGGCTATCTGATCACTTTCACAACTTGAGACATAGCGCCTTACCGGTCGGACGCTACCGTATTTGAACATGGGCGGCATGGCCTGAGTAGCCAATGCGCATCCCTAAGGGTGCTGCTAAAGTGACCACAACTGACAAGCATGACGGTTATTACCAGATATTAATAGTAGAAGAAAAAATAAGGAATGAAGGACAAATAAGTGGCTAAGGAAGATAAGATTAAGGTTTATAGTTGCTCGTATGGCTGCCATGTTGGAAGAATGCTACAGAAATCCACCCCGGCAAGACTTCCAATGCGGTCAAGTCGTTCATGTTTACATCAAACTTGTTCACATAGCTCATAATGCCTACCATATAGAAAACACTATGTGGTCTTCCTATTTTCCAATGCTTTTCTGTTCAGTAGCTCGCATGCGAAACCCTATAACTTGAACGTTCAGCTTGGCCATTTGGGCTGTTGGAACAGTTTCTATACATGTGGCCACATGTTAAATGCTGCACTTAACTGGAAACGTAAACCCTGTCGTCGACTTGCTTGGCGGTCAGTAAGCATGTAATGAATAAGCCCTGTCTATTTTTACGATCATAATATTGCCCCTGAGCATATGTGACACAACTAAGCGGAGAACAATGAGAAGATATTGCGAATGCCGATTGTAATCTTATAATGCAGAAGCGACACGAACGACCGACCGACCGACGACATTTTTAGCAGTTGCAACAGAACATGAATAGTTCGATGCGCCATTTACACTACAGTTACTACTATCGTTGCCGTTGGTCACATTCCAGCATTTTGCCGTCTACCACCGCTGCACCGCGAAACTTCATCCGATGACGGCGATTGCCGCGACACTCGTCGCTGTCATTGCCACAACCGCCACGTGAGATAACAGTTGACTCCGCGAACGGCAACGGTTCGCGAGTAAAACGGTAGACGAATAGGGTAGGCCATGCGCGCATGTCTGTTTGTGCGGCTATCTGACGGGATAACGAGGCACTCGGCCATACTGCAGATAGCGCCTGCAAACGTCTACTTAATCTGGCTGGTTAAACGGACGCTTATAATGATGTGTCACAGAGGTCTCTGGCTGAAGCGGGACCTATAAGGGGCTGTTCTGCTGCGCGACCTGTCCGTAGGATTCACTGCTACTGCTACTTCACTCGATGTTACCTCGGTCAATGCTACCGCTGAAAAGACTGCACCGCAACGTGTCTTGACTGTGGTCTAGACATTTCGTGTCAAAACGAAGAAGCCATCTAATCCGTCTGCGTGCCGTCACTGCTGTTTCGTACTATCTACTGTTCTGATGCAATGTCTTCCATAACTAGAAAGACGCAGTCATCACATTCTCTAGTTTGCTTGCATACTGTATGTATATATATATGGCATAGGCTTGGCAAGAAAATCAGCCGCCGAATCATTTCCCCTCAGTCTCGTCAGGGGTTGTTGATGTTATTGTTGTCATTTTTAATATCACTTTTATTGTGTGCAGCCACCGAATGTGATCACCGAAAGGTAAGGTCAACTGGTCTTCTTCCACTGAGAATCCAAGATCTTGTTGCCAGTGCGGCGGCTACTGTGCGACAAGTGTAAGACCCGAAGACCAGATCTTCGCTGAAGAGTTAGCCAGTGATCTGTGAGCAGATAACAAGTACTGTCTACACGAACGTGTTTATACTAGTCTAATCGTTTGTTTTGAGCAGTTTGACTACATACGGCAGGTTATCAGATGATCCTCTATATCATTAGAAGCTATCAATACCGGTAGTACAGAGGAGCAACGACAGCGATTGGCAAGAACAATGAAACGTCTCACATTACTCAGATTATTCTGCCCCCTCTTGGCAGAGTAAACAAGCTGTTGTCTTCAAACAGCGTCGGGCTATTGGAGAGCCCTTAACTAAGCTCCAATATTTGCGTGTTTTGTCTCGTCGTTCTATACTCACTCGCTTCTACTAGATCCTTTCTGTGATATTGATCATAGCGCACAATCGTTCTGCTGCGTCACTTCATCGTTATGTTTATATATAAAATACCTCTATTTATGTACGTATTGGCTTTCTGCTTTTCCGGAATAAGCGGTATGAGGTCGTGGGCTATACAAGAACCACGGAAGAGGTAATGCATAATGATTACCTTCCGCAAGAGGACAAAGCAAGTGAGTGGAAGCAACAAGTGATAATGGTAGGTAAATGAGCAATCAGTTGCACTTTTGCCTAGGTTATTATATAAGATTTATTATCTATTATAGGCTATCTATAAAGCACAGTAGGTGCTCTTATTATCTTAAGAATGCATTATTCGTTCTAGGATGGCTTCGTATGTGTGGGACCACGATATACAGCTCTGGGAACGAGCTCTTATTACAGTTCTAACAACTAGGAGGGTACTGGTGTTTTCGGCCTCAAACTACCTTTGCTCCACGTTTGAGAACTGATTGGCCATTAGGATGTATGGAGTGAATCACGTAAACAGCCAGTCCGGTTCATTACAACCCACCAAAGAAAAAAAGCCTGAATTGTGTGTACTTTGCTACTAGCGATTTATTATGTTATATTGAATTAAATATATCGCACAAAAGGCATTGAAGCACCGAATTGCAGGTGACAGTATTATATAGTGAAGTCACTCAAAAGACTAGCTCATGTGATGGTATGGTGAGAGGGTACAATGCTATCTAACGTAATCTGAGATATAAACCAGGAGGTTTTGAATTCCCCATGTCAGTACTATGTACTCTCTGTACATCTGTGTACGAATCTGGCGGGTTTCATAACATGGGTTATAAGAAGTAATTAACTTTCTATTATAGGTCAAGTCTGTCGGAAACCAATTACACTAACGGCCAACGTTTTGCCATTAGGTATACAATATATTAAACTATTTGCAGTTTTCTACTAGCTTCTGCGGTTTTCTATCTGCGCCCATTTTCGTAAAAATAATACATCGACGATATCGCATACTGACACACATATGCCTTAATAATATGTATAGTCCATAATACGATATAACCGTAAATAAGACAAACGACATGTAAAAATTGGGCACCACACCTTTGCGATTGGGGTACGAGCCCGTTAACATGAGCACAATCTGTGGAAATTCATTTGAATACCCTAGGAAAGAAACGGAGTAACAAACCAAAAACGCGAACGGCGCAGAACAAAAAGCCTATATGGGCATAGCCACCCCTGCCCGCCATGTTAACATTTATTTCTATTTCTTTCTCTCTGTGTTTTGTGATCACTTAAACGGGAGGCTCGTGCTGTCTAACTACTGCTTAATTTTTTCGCGTTCCACATGATGTTGTACGTGTTCCAAAGCGTCAAACGCGATTCGCGGTCGCTCGGCGATATTAAAGCAACAAAAAAATCTCTTCTTTCTGGTTTCCATATCTGCCATTGCTCCAACAGTAATCACCAGCTACCGGTAACCATTTTGTGGGCCAAACTGATCTCACCCTGTTTTTCTTTTCAATTGATTCGCTTCAAGTGATAATGCCACTTGGATGTAGGGGCAACAGCGATTTGAATGTCACTCTAGCTACCCAGATCCCACCGACGGTGTCCGCGAGAACAACACGTTCACGTTGACGTTGCCGGCAAGTATGAACCGATCGTTTTACCCTACCTCGGTCAGTTTTGCAGAACTTTCTAGCCTTTGTCTTACGAGCGCTGTCGAACGTGCCAAGCCACACACACGGTCAAATTGGGAACTATTTATTTTACATGTGGAAACACATTAAATATTTATTTCGACATCAAATTTCACCATGTTCGGTCACGTAGTTGTAGATAGTAATTGGGATGATATGGGAGGCCCTGCAAGCGGGTAGGGTTCGCCGTTAAGAGATCTTGAGCTCTGTTAACGAAGAACGAGGAAGGAACTAATCGAATTTACTTGCATTGTCTTCAGTGAATCATCTACTGCTGGCAGTCGTAGTCAACCAGTGCCGTCGAATACTGCGCCACATCATCGACAGGCACAAAGCTCTCGTAAGATGTTTGTACCATGAAATAATGGATCGACTCGTCTGCCATAACCCTGAGCAAGTTACTCTACTTAGCGTCCGAAAACTGAGCTAAACATGACAACCAGGCAAGAGATTACACCTTGAGTTTACGATGATGTGACATGTGTAAGGAAAGATGGAAACATTTTTCACCAACCATTATGTTGAACGTGGCCGAGAACGATGAAAAATATCTGGGTGGGTACAAGATAGTCTATTTTGGTTTATAGAAATCAAATAATTTTAACGAAGTTTGCTATGGGAAGCTTAAATAAACAAAGGAGCACATGAACTTAACACAGACAGATCATCTGCCGTCGAATATTTATAAACCCCATGCAAGCAGATACATTCATTGAGTTATATCGAACTTTATTTTGAGCAGATAGGCAGGAACATTGCTCCTTCCATTGGATCGTGCCTATTGTACACCATATGTATACCACAGGAAGGGCTTGAAGGATTTACTAGAACACCGATCACTGCTTAATTCCGTAGAGTTTTTGTGCTTGCCAAATGTCTATATACAAAATTTCTATAACCTTAACTTGCAGCTTTTGTAACCTCAAGTTACTTAAAGTTAGGAATGGAATTGATCTAGCGTCATGCGTGTCAATCAATCAGAGAGTATCTGAAATGATTCATATTATGACAGATCTGAATCAATCATACCCGTTTCACAACATGTCTCTTGTAATGATCGTTTTTCCTATGAGAGTAAGTATCAGCAAAAAGGCATAAAAACAAAGGTTAACAGCCACAGTTCAGTGCTTTATGTTGGCACACTCTTACGTGGATTCCCTGTATTGAATCGGACCCAGTTCAATAGAGGCTGCTATAGAGGAAAAATCATTGTCGGCAATTGTAAACCATTACGTCGCCCATCGATTCATTCTGTCAAGCGAATCAAACAGACGATAAACAAAGCGATAGTTGAAGCTGACAGGACTCTGCTGTGTCTTACCTACCCCGGGTGATTGATTAGTAAGCGAATTACTTACTACTTCTTACGAGTACCTGAAGACTATGCTTTGCCGGTAGCAACATACCATAGACTATTTACTTTGAATACCTGTTTATGTACAACCTGTATTATTGATACGCTTTACGAAAGTTGTTCTGCGAGGTCTAACGATTCAATTTCAAGCTTCGTCCATTATTCAGCCCTCGGAGCACTCTTTTATGAGATTTATAAGGTTACGTTGTTTCCCTAAACAGAATAATACCACTGTTATTTAGACTGTCGAAAATGAATATGGTGACAAACAATATAGGATTTTGCTACTATTAGATATGTGTTAAGTACGCTGCAAAAAAATCGGACTGTCAGTATATACAGCTAATGTAAATTATCGTGATTTACTCATGCATTAACCAAGCGTGCAGTATGCCAACAGTCTTTACCGTTATACCTGGGCAAGCCCAGTTTTAGGGAAATTTTCTTCTGAACTTATAAAGCATATGTACATGTGTTTAAAAAATGGCGGTTCGGTATCGGACACTTTATATCGTTCAAGCTCGAGGTGGCTACGTGTTTGAAAACATCCCTATAATTGGGCATTTATATGTTGTTAGTATTACATGGCATCATTTCGAGCCGGCAGCCTGTTCCTTAGAAAATTATGTAGATTTCCATATTACAGAAACGTTGCTTCAATATCAACCCCACGTTACGTTATACGTAACGTGCTAATTATTGGATCATACGCGAATAAAATGCATATCGATCATGAACCGAGCAGCACAAAAACGTTTTCGGTTAATAATAATACCTTATCGGTAGTATCATCAAATACTTTAAACACAAGTACTTGATATGATAAATTTATCTAGCTAGCTTAGACTACTCGCTTCAATGAGTAAATAAAGCTGGCTAAATAATGGACAAAGATAATGTGAGAAATGGTGGCCAGTTGACGATGATTTGGTTAACTAGTAATGAGACTTCTGCCTCACTGCTCGTTAAACGTGTGCAAGGTCACAGGTCTGATTCCGGTTTAGATCTGGGGCCGATTCCAGTTCTGGAGACATGCAGGTGCGCATGGGAAACATTCAGCTTACGCTTGGATAATACCTTTTTGCATCGTGCAGTTCTGGGAAGATGCGTCACCGGGAAGGGCTGTAGAACTATCTTATTTCCTTCAATACAACATCACTTAATGGTTGCAGTTCGCAAAACTACCTTCTTCCTTTGGAAGACAACGTCGACGAAGATGTTCGCAGAGCCAAGTTCTCCCTTCGATATTCGGAAACTTATTAGCGCGGCATCAGCCTGTACATATCGACGAAAGCCAGTTTGAGTAGACATTTAGTCGCAGAGCTGCTAACCTGTAGCACCACTGTGATACTGTGTTATATATACAAAGCAGCTAGGGGGACGATGTTGTACGGGGGAACATGGCTGGGGGTGACGCACACTAGGCCAGTATGGCCATAACAGCAATAACCCCAATGCTAATAATGTCGGCTGCGGACAGTAAAATACATAATGCAGCAGCGCATGGCCGGCAGGTATAACAATAAGCATAGTAATAACGATGATAGTGATAACAACAACAATAAGATGATAATGATCACAATTATACAGGCAAGGGTTAATGGGGTGAGCGCGGCGCTCACAATGCGCTCACTGCATCTGTCCCGCCGAAACAGATACCACTATGGTAATAATGTGTACAAATTATATAACGAGCAGAAATCCCGTTTTCCAGCATCATTGTCGTCTCGTTGGGTCCGGTGTTTAGCACACAAAGTCTCTCTGTCTACCTTACTCGCTGTTATTGTCACCGCCGCCCCAAAAAGTGCCCTCCACCCAGCATCGGTTTAGTTAAGCAGGTCATCCACTAACGCTGCGGATCGAATGGATCGACAAATGAGTTAGTTGCGATTGAAGTACTGTCCGTCTGTACGTGACAGGCGCACGCACGCGTACGTGCGTGCATTCGTCTGTGACTGAGTAAAACGTCTCTAGAAAGATGTATTACCTGTCTTGGCTCATACCGCAGCACGGCGCTGTTAGTTACGGCTACGGTGGCCACCGGCATCGTCACTATCTGTTAGTTTCCTCTCCGATGGTAGCGCCATAGCCGCTGCATCTGGTGGAACGGTCCGCCATTAAAATACCCGTAGTGAATGTGTACCTATGTGTCGGTGCTTGGCGCCTATCGCCGCCGTAGACAAGCGAACGGTGGTCGCTTTATACTACTTACACATGATGCGATGGTATGGTTTATCGTGGGTGAAGGTCTTGGTTTCTGCGGCCAGACAGCGAATCGCGCTTGCGACCACCAAGGTACTTAACTGACGGGGAGGCGGGGGGTTGGATGATAGTAGCACGTCTAAATATCTACAATTGTCAGTGAGCAATTTCTTCTGTAGCACGTTAGCGAGCAGCGCGTTACTCAGTCGGTTGGGGTGGAAGAAATACAGTAGAAAGCAGCCGACGGAGGTGGTGATGAACGAGCCTCTTCGTCAGAGGGATTGGTCTAAGAATTAACAGGGACAGCTTCATTTTCTTCATGTTGAGCAGCATCCGGACATTAGTTGCCGTCGGTGCGATGGCGCCGCTGGTGTAAAAAGAACACCGCACTAGGCTTCATCAGTGCACAGAATCTTCCAGGTACATACCGAGCGTTACTTCGCTTCCGGTGGAACTAGATCGGGCACGACCTTGCTTATAATATAGCGTCATGCCACTAACCGACGCCAGCAATACCCAAATCACTGGCTGGCTAATGAAATGCTCAGCAGCCCAGCAACAAAGAACAAAAGCAAGCACTGGATTAAAGTAGAGCGAATCAGGCGGACTTCTATCGGATCCCTGCGACCTAGTACGTACTGTCGACTGTAGGGAGTGCCTATAACAATTGATAATACGTACATGCAGCATTTTCACATGTTGATCGAAACGAGAACCACTAGTGTTTTTTCAGCGGGAAAAACATGGCAGGAGAGAGATCGTTGATCAATATTTACTATATTGAACGTACAACTTTTAGACATTCACGTTTTAGGTCGAGTGACAGGCAAGGGGTATTGCTAAAGGCTATAATCGGGCTTTTTTGCGATTGTTTGCGCTATATTACATTTGCTGTGTATATTAGATCCTCTCTTTCTCTCCCCCTCTCTAGAATTTTCTCTTCTTAAGAAGCTGACGACGTGAATTTGCCCCGGTCGCGCAATTCCTCCGCAGATCGTTGTGCTGACTTGCGCTACTTTGCCCTGCTTAAGTTAAGGGTCACAGTTGCTACCGTCGCTATTGCTACCGCTGTTGTTTTGTTGCTGTCGCTGCTTCTGCTGCCCTGCTGACCGAGAAAGCCAATTTTTCGCGCGTGGCCTTAGTAGAACAAGCATTGTTATTGTAGATGCAGCACCTATCGCTGCTGCTGCAGTTGTTCAATGTTCTGTCCATTGTTGTCAATGTGTGCTTCAGCGGACCTTTACAGGCTTTTCCCTGCTAGGGTTGAATAACGGGGTTCAGTGCGGTGCGATATGTTATCCACGATGATAGCTACTGCGGCGTATGTGATTGGTACGATGACTTGGAACGTGGTTGAGTTGTAACTGGTAAAGGGAAGTTCTTGAACTTTTACCTCTTCTGCACGTTCTAGCTAAAACGCTGTGGACTGATGCGTGGCTGGTACGTGAAGGACCCTATCCTACGGATTGGCGACAGAGGACCCTTATCATAGGCTCGTACATTTGGCTGAATAAATGTGGCCAATAACTAAATCAACTACAGTAATTGATTAAGCAAAACCAGGAAGAAGAAGCAAACGAAAAGGTGATAGCAGAATGGAAGTTGTTAGTATAGTTACTAATCTTGTATGACGCGGATGATTCTTGCAAGGCGTAATTGAGTAAATATGTTTAACGAAACTATTAAATTAATAATTTACTGTTCAACTATAATTTGTATGATATGATGGACCGATATTAAACAGTTATCCTTTTTGTGCTTAATATTGTATGAAAGCGTTGTTTTTTTTTATTTACTGTTACCGATTAGTTTCGTTTGACATTAAAAAAAATTCTACCGGAACCATATAGACCTATAAGGTACCTCTCTTCCGACACTTGCGAGGTAAAGTTTCCTGCTACGCCAATGTTTCATATTAAACAGTAGAATTAATTCAAAGAAAAAAACACTACATTTTGCCGTTCCGTGACGTAATTCAATCATGATATAGCAAATTCAT